TGCTTAGCATTCCGGAGGCCCTGAACTGAGCTTGTTATTTGGTCAGCATTCCGGAGGCCCTGAGCTTGTTATTTGTGAATCTTTTGCAAAACGGTATAACTGTGGCTAAAACGAGTTGGGGTCCTTCAGAGTTAAGAGTCTTTAGTGCATATAAGATACCAGTAACTAATAATATTCTGTTTTTGTCTTTTTAGAAGCACAGTCCAAGGATGATACTTCTAGGCCTGGAAGCCGAACTAAATCTAAGCCCAAACCCAAATAGCTTCCTTAAGAGCCCAGGGGTCACAGTGGCCATGCCCCTGAACATGCGTAGATATTGCTGAGCTGTGGAGTTGGCAACACAGCTCACATGAACAGACTCCCTTAGCAACAGCCATTAGAAAAGCCACGCTATCCAAGCCAAGAAGATGTTTCTTTAGAAGCATGGCAGAGACAATAAGGATTCATATGTGAGTTTACTTGCCAGAATAAAAACAGTCTATGCAAAAGTGTGCGGGCCTCTTCAGTTACTTTCCCGAGAGTTCTGTGAAAAGTGTCCATCTCTATGAAGAAAATGCTGCAGCAACTCAGCTCAGGTGGAAGGAAGCAGGAAGCCTTGTGTTTGACTCAGCAGAGAGGATCCTGCTCAGCCACTTAGATTGCAGCCACAGATTTGAGTTTCCTGATTTCAGGCGCCCTATGATCTCTCTGGTCCTAACAATCCTCTAGCTAGGTGCGGGGAGATGCTCTTCATCTTGTTTCTCAGAAAATGAGACTGAGCCCCAGGAAGCTTATCAGTCTTCCTGATTCCACAGATCTGATGGTGTCAGAATCTGTGCCTGGCTGCCCAGCCATGGCTTCCATGGCTTTCTGTGTTGCTGGAGGCTCCCCAGAATCTCTGTGTTCTTTCTTTGACAACCTCATTCATTTGTTCTTTCTATGTCCCCGAGTCTATACAGGCTCGGAGATGGTCTTTTCTGTAAAAGCATGCTGTGGATGACAAACGGATGCTGACAACTCTGCAGGGCTGCTTACTACACTGCCTCTGGCCTGCTTGGGTTTGCATATCTCTTGGGCTTGGTCATTGCTGGGAAGATGGCTGCATTGTTTTGTCCCATATGACTGCTGTCCCTTTGGATTTCTCTCCTAGAGTTTTAGACCTTTGTCTGATTGTTCATCCTCAGAAACCCACTGACTCCAGAGTCCCCCAGCTGGCCACCAGAAGAGTATGAGGGATGGGTTCAACATTGCTTAGGAGTTACCTATGCCGACTGGAAAGGATCAATTATACTTTGTGCTTATAAGAAAGAATACATGAAATTCTTCAGACAGTTGGGTGTGTTCATGGCCCAACTGATGGGCAAAGTCAAAGCTGCTGCTTACGGCTTCCACCTGCTAGAGCAGAGCTCTGCTTTCCTCCTTCTGAAAGACAGCCCTTGATGACACTGCCAAATCTGGGGCTTTTCAGTTCTGCATGATTCTAGAATAATTTTTATTAATGTTCTATTCCATAGGAATGAATGGGCATTCCCGTACAAATTAGTAGAGCCCATATTTGAACACAAGAACATTGTCCTAACCAGGCAGTGGTGGCACACACCTTTAATCCCAACACTTGGGAGGCAGAAGCAGGTGGATTTCAGTGAGTCTGAGGCCAGCCTGGTCTACAGAATGAATTCCAGAATAGGTGAACAGGCCCAAAAGCTACAGAGAAACCCTGTCTCGAATAAAACAAAAACAAAAACCAAAACAAAACAAAACAAAAAAACAAATAACCCCAAAACAACAACAAGAAGACTGGCCCTTAGAATGTGTCAAATCATATCAACTCCACCAGGCATATCTACTGCCATCCTGATTATAATGGGATGCTTTGTATCCAGAACTTTATGAGTTGGTTATAAGTCACAGAAGTCTACTTTTGCAGGATAATTTATTGATAGGATTTGGGGGAGCTCAAGTAATTGAAATCCTTAAAAACTAGAATGAGACTAGTGACCACAGCACCTTTGGGAGATCTCTGGTGTAATAATTGTTTTACCATTTCACCCTAGATTACTGTGTAACAAATTCCAGTCATTTCTTTCATCTTTGCCTTACTCTGTCAATGTCTCTGGTTCCCAAAAGAGAGAATATCTATCTCATGGTCAAAGACTGTACCACAGATATACAACAGATGCTGTTTGAGATGCCTTTCTGTTGTGATAAAACACTGACTAAAAGGGGGAGGGTGGGATGGAGCAGGGCTTATTTCAGCTTTCATTCCCATTTCAGAGTCCATCATTGAGGGAAATTATGGCAGGAAGCCAGACAAGAACTTGAAGCAGAAACCAAGGAGGAATGCTGCTTGCTGGATCTCATTGACTTACGCTTAGCTAGCTTTCTTCTACAGAGAAGGGCCACCTGCCCAGGGAATAGTGCTGCCCACAGTGGACTGGGCAGTGAAGTTTAATACACAGATATGTACGCAGGTCAGTCTGATCTATGTAATCTCTTAGTGCAGATTTTCTTCTTGGGAAACTCTAGGATGTGTCAAGTTGATAGCTAAATGTTTTGTGGGAAGTTTTGGAGCCTTTCAGACCTTCCTGTACTTTCTTGGGTCTCTCATGCAATGTAGAGGCAAGAACTCTTTGCTGTCCATCCCTAGCGTCAGGCTGTTGAGGCCACTTGTGTAAAGGCAGACAGTCAGATGGGCAGACACAGCCAGACTGACCTCGTCTCTAGTAGAGAAGAAACTGATTGGCTGCCTCGTGGCTGTGACAAATGATTGAGAAAAATGACTTAACAGGAAGAAAGGTTTTGTTTGTTTTTTGGCTCATAGTTTCAATCCAGGGCTGGCTGGTCTACTTGGGATTGAGGTGATGTAGAATACCATGGTGGTGGGAGCATGCTGCGGGAGTATCTTCCACTGCTTCAGCCAATAGTCGCTGAAGCAGGAGCCCACTGTGCTGCGGAAGGGCCTTCCGCTCCGTCAGCCAATAGCCGCTGAAATACCAGTCCACTGGGGCGTGGTATATTTCTCTTTTAAAAAGAGCCACAGATCTCTGCTCGGCCCTCTTGGTTCTGGCTCCTGCTCCCGGCTCCTGCTCCAGCGACTAGGCTCCCTTCCTGACGGTTTATGGTGTATGTAAGTTTTACCCCCCAAAATAAATAACCCCTTAAAACATAACTGGTGTGGGATTGATTTGCCATTATTTGGCACCCAGCGTTTGGTTTAAGAACCACCCCATCCCCCCACCCCCCACCCCCAGCTCGGCCTCTGGCTTGGCTACCTGCCGCCAGCTTGGCTTGGCTAACTGGGCTTGGCACGAGCCCTCCCTCAGCCATAACCTCCACGCCTCCCAGGATGCACAGGTCCGGACAGTCTCTGCTGGCCTACTCTGCCCTGCTCTGCACGGATTTTTAAATTTTTCCTTGCAACGTGAGTCAAAGAGCTCACAGCGCAAGCTCCCTTTGAAGTTCCAGCAAGCTGTTTGAAACCCCTGCCATCCGCCATAACTGATTGGGAGTGCTGCAAGCACTATTCATATCTAGGTGGATAGGTAGCTGGGAGTAAGTGGAAGGGGCCAGGGATAAAATATACCTCTCAAAGGCATGACCTCACCTACCTGGTGCAGGAGAATTGTCTGTATTCTGTCAATCATGTATTTTAATAAAATGCTGATTGGCCAGGCAGGAAGTATAGGCGGGTCAACCAGACAGGAAGTAGAGGTGGGGCAATGAGAATAGGAGAAGGCTAGGGAGGAGGAAACTCCCTCCGCCATTCCTGCCCAGACCACTGAAGAAGCAACATGTGAGCTGATAGCAGAAAAAAAAGGTACCAAGTCATATGGCTAACACAGACAAGAATTATGGGTTACCATAAGATGTAAGAATTAGTTAACAAGAAGCTTGAGCTAATGGGTCAATCAATTTATAATCTTATGAAGTCCTGTGTGTGATTTTCTTTGGGGCTTGCTGGTTGTGGGGTACTGGGCGGGACAGAAACCCTAACAAGCCGGCCTTCATGTTACACCTACTTACTTCCTCCAGCTAGGCTTAGCCTGCCACAGTTCACCATTTCCCAGGGGAAAAAAATGGAAGTTGGTTTATGTTGCCTGTCATGGAAGTCAACACAGAAACAAGATTTAAGCTGTAAAACTGGACTTTATTCAGTGAGCAAGCAATCCAAATGACAGCAGATTGAAATCTCAGACCCATCTTCAATCTTATCTCCAACAGATTATACAGGGAGAAGAGGAGATGGTGGGGTGGGGGACAGAGACTCAGTCTCGTCCTCTGGTCAGGAAGTCAGTGACATTTTTGAGACTCATGGTAGATGTCTGTGCTTCTCTTGCTGTCACTCCTTGTATTTCCCCCTCATTCTGTAGATGTTTGGGTTCCCACGCTTCTGGAAACTCTAAGTTAGTGTGTTGGTGTCGACAGTGCTCTCCAGGAGCGCCTGGGCTGTGGAGGGGTGGCTAACTTGAACAGACCATTAGCTGGGTATATGTGCTATCAGTGCTATGCATGTACAGATCCCTTTCTACAGTATTGAGCAGTGTGTCTTTATTATACGAAGTATGAAAGTGCCCACAGCTGTCCTTTCTGTGCCCTACTATTCCCTACTGTCAGTAGTGACTCATATCCATAAGATCTGTATCACACAAAGGATAACATCCTGACACATGCCCTGGCTGATTATCAGCATAACTTCTTACCAGTAAGGGAATTCTCCAACACATAGTTGTATACATTGAAGTACACTGTACATGACAGCAAGAGTTAGAACTTGATATAAAAATTTCTGAAGTATGCCTGTGTCTGAAACAGGTGTCACAAACAGAATACACGTAGGAGCTAAAGTTGGAAGGCATTAGGGTTAGGTAATCATACATAAGAACCAATCTCTATAACCTCTATAACCTGTGGATCATGACCACATTGGGGTCTAATGACCCTTTCACAGAGGTCACCTAAGACCATCAGAAAACACAGTTATTGACATTATAATTCATAACAGCAAAATTACAGTTATGGAGTAATAACAAAAATATTTTTATGGTTGGGGGTCACCACTACATGAGGACCTGTATTAAAGGGCTGTAGCATTAGGAAGACTGAGAACCGCTGCTCTAGGCTTTAGTTACTTTTTGAAACGTTGGCACAAGTGACTATTTTTGTTGTTGGCTTTGAGACAGGGTATTACTATGGAGATATGATGGATATCTTTGTTTTCCAACTTGAAATAAACCAGAATAATCCAAGAAAAATTAATGAGGGATTATCTACATTAGGTTGTTTTGTGGGCATGACTATAAGGGACTGTTTAAGGGAATCTGTCGGGAGCCGTGCAGCCTAGTCTTGGATCAGTATATGACTACCTGTTCATTGGGTTTCTGTGGAGCAAGGTATGTGTGGAAACTGACTCATGCTTGACAAGGACCAGTAGTCCACAAGACAGCATAGGAATTTGCAAAGTCATGCAGCTTGCAAGCTCTTTTCTCTCTTATTATACTGGCGATTCTTTGGGTGGTTTTAGTTTTACTTTTTCTCAGTCACACGTACAATAGCTGTAATTTTCCCTGAAAATTCTCTTCTTTCTCAAATATGTTCCCCGAAGATTCAAAAGAGGACTAATGCTTTTCCAATCTCTTATCTGGAATTTCTAACCACAACTCCCAATCCTGGGAACTTTTCTGACTCAATAGAAATAGTTATTTATGTATGAGAAAGCAAAACTTGGAGCATTAGCCATGCCTCACAGTTCTGGAAATGCATATACAGAACAGGGAAAAGACCTTGGAAATACACATAGTGCCAACTGTTGAGAGTAAGTTCCCTGGACACCAAGCATAGAATCAATGGCAGGATGTGGCATGCTCCAATGGGAAAAATACAATGCAAAATGTGGGATGATAGATCCATCTTTATCACACACAGGAAGAAGCACGGTGTAGTGAGAAGGGGAAAGAGTGCTTGCCAAAGTCTGCCTTTTACAGGGAGAGTGAGTCATCAGACCCTCTTGGAGAAGAGGGAGCTACATAAAGATCTATCTTGCAGACCCGAAAGAGTTGTCTGGTTTGAATATTGTCGTCCTGAAAGCCCTGCACCTATGTCTATTACTTTTTAACTTTGTAACCACAAGTAGCTGCCAACTGGCATAAGCGCTGTGAGAACAGGATGTGTCTGGCTCCATGTTTAGTTAAGCCTGGAAAACGCTGAACTCTATGTCTAGAATAAGGTTATGTAGGGTGGGAAGGTGTATCTGGGGAGGCATAAAGGGGAACAATGAGGGCTTTCATAAGCACATGATGCATTCCTTAAATTGTGATGTATTTCTTAAAGTCAAAAATAGAAGCCGATAATAAAGCTGTTCATGTAACCCAGGTAAGAAAAACTCTAAGTGTAAACAAAGAAGGCCTGAGTGATTCGGAACCACTTGAGAGCAGTCTACCTGGTGGTCAGAAGTTTTCCTTGTGCCGATGTCCCTTCCCCACTTCAGGTCCTGAACCCAAGCAGAGGCTGGACCCTGGCATTAGTCAATGTGGGAAGATTCAGCCTGTAGTAGTGACACCATTCCCTAGGAAGGGAAGTCCTGAACTGGATGAGTGGATAAACTGAGCTGCACTCAAGCAACTAAGCATCACATATTCAGTTCTTTCTGCACATGAGTGTGATATGACCAGTTACTTCAGGTTCCTGCCTGCATCTCCACCTAGGAGATATGACTAGGAGTTGCTTCAAGTTCCTGCCTTAATTTCCCTACAGTGTCAGACTGTAACCTGGATCCGTGAGCTAAAAGAAACCATTTCTCCTTGAAGTTTCTGTTGTTGGAATATTTATCATAAAAACAAATTAAACTAGGAGAGAGTTGGGACTGAGGAAATAGGGCTGTTGCCATGACAAGCCCGACCATGGAGCCTTTATGCCTTCGGACTATTTTCTGGGAGAGTTTGGAATTGTAGACTTGACAGGTTAAGTGCCAGCAGCGGGGCTTCACAGGCTGTGGGAGTTCTGAGGAGTGCCGGAAGCGGGGAGAGCTGCACTGAAAGCACAGCTCACCACTCGGGGTGATGAGCACATGGACAGGGGCTCACAGAGACCCTGTGACAGGAGCCAGGTAAGACACAATGGAAGATATCTGAGATAGGTCTTCAGAAATCAAACTTGAACCACACAGAGAGTCAAAAGTCTAAGTCTCTTTCCTATAATTACTACGATGAGTTAGATACCTTCTCAGCCACTGCCATTACACTGTGTTCTCATCCATTTGGGCATCTTGTGACGCACCCAAAATGTCTTCTATTTGGCTACCAAACAAGGGCAGGAAGGACTGAATGCCTCACTCGGGGATATAGTTTTCTATGGCAGATTCCCATTGCGTTTTGCCCATCCTATAACATAGGAGAGTCCTTCTTTTTGGGGTTTAGTGGTTCAACGGGTCTGGATGAACTTGGGTAGTTGATGCTCCCTTGTGTTCTGTTGCTGGGATAAGACAGAAGGTTTAGCATGTCAAATGGTAAAGGTAGAACCACAGTGGACGGCTTCTCTGTGGACAATGACTGGAGAGTGTGCAGGTATCGAAGCTGAGCGGCAGCTGGGGTGCCCGACAGAATCTCAGCTGCCATCCTCAGGGACTCCGAAGCAGCCCTTTCCCCTTCTGCAGCAATCATCTGCAGAACATATGTGAAGAAAAACAATGTGATCATGCTTCTTTATTTCATGAGGGTTTTAAGTGCTCGCCATTCACTGTGACCCAGAAAGCAAGTACCACACATCTCCTCAGTGGCAGGCATTGTTAAACTTGGGGCACTAGATTCAGCCTCTCTCTGATGGATTGTGACGTAGAAGGAACAGATTAAACTACCAATCAAAATTGAAGGTGGATTTTGTTACAGGTCATGACAAGTATACATGAAGTGTAGGGAGGCTTGAAAACTTAGGAGGATCTTGCTTGCTGTGTGGAAGACTAGTTGGTCTGAGTTCTGGTGACAGACATGGAATTATAACTTGGTCACAAAAGAATGGGTAAGCATTTCAGAAGAGAAAGCTCTTGGACCCCCGTCTCACAGATGCCACCACTAAATGTTAGGCACTGGTAACTGGTTCAGAGTTACCAAAAGGCCACCTTCCTCTTTCCCTCCCTTCTTCTCTTGGAGTCTTTTGTTATTGATTCTTCTATGTGATTAGAGTCTTTTTCTTCATCCACTCAGTTATTTGAAAGGAATCTGCCTCTTTTCATCCCTTCATTATCCTAGGGGTTATGGGTGCCTCGGTCATCCAGGGACAATCCTAGCACAAGAGAGGAAGGATGGCAAGGGAAGATTTTAGGGAGAGAGGGTGGAAGAAGAGGCGGGGGACATGTTAGCGGGACATTTTGGGGGGAGGCTGAGATACTGCAAGATCAGTCCTGTATACACACTGTCAACAGTGGTGGGGACACGGCCAGATTCTGCTCAGTTCCCGAACCAACGTGGGAGAGCACAGGGGAGACATTCTCCACCACCAGGCCTTCGCTGGGTTTGCTCTTCATCTGAAGATGCTCTTCAGAGGCAGGGGTGGGAGGATGGAGTGCTCAGGAATGGCTCACCCGCACTTTGGCCTGTCTTTGAGCCTCAGCTTCCACAGCCAGAGAGTGCTGAAGACCAGCCGGCAGCCTCACATCCTTACTGAAAAAGAAGACAGTATGGGTGTGCGTGGTCCATACGTGCACCAGGGCGTTCTCACAGACTTCCCTGTTGTTACATAAATAGCAACTTTTTTTTTTAAATTTAAAGACATAGTTTATGTATATTCATATTTTGCCTACATGTATGTCTGTGCATCACAAGCATGCCTATCACTTATGGAGGCCAGAGAGGGCAACTGGAGTTATAGGCAGTTGTGATATGATTGATGGGGGCTGAGAATCGAACCCAGGTCCTCTGGAAGAGCAGACAATTCTCAAAACCACCAAGCCGGTTCTCCAGCCCTGAATAGTAAATTTTTAATGAGAAGACAGAGCTGTCCCTAGAGTTCTGGCGTGGAGGATAAGCAGGGAAGAGCACATTCGGGGTCTGTGCCCAGAGTGCAGGTGCGGCCACTGCGGAAGCTGCATGGGCCATGACACTCGAGCTACACAGGACATAGTTTCTACTCACAATTTGTCGTCATCTTTCTCACTTAACATTTCATGTAAATTCAAGTTATTAAATCTGAATAATGAAAAACAACCTGGAAAAGTCATAAAATTAAAAACAAAAGCCAGAGAAATTCACCTAAGTTTATAAAAGAAAATTGATTTTGAGGAGAAGGAATGAACTAATAAGAACAATTCTAGTATAGCACGTAAAAAACACAGAAGTAAAATTTCATTATAGCACTTTCCATCATGGTCCCAAAGTGGCTGGGGGAGGATGGAAAGACAAAGTTTTGTATGACCATAAAGTGGAATATTACTCAAGCATAAAAGGGAATGAAGTACTGATGTGTGCCATGCCACGGGGGAACCTTGAAAAATTATGTCAAATGAAAGGAAGCCAGATGCGGAAGTCTCTGCTGTGACTCCATTTCTGTGAGACGGCCAGAATAATAGGCATGGCCACCGAAGGAGAACTGGGGGCTGAGCTGAGGGGGTTACAGAGTTCTTGCTTGTGGGTTTGCGGGGGGTGATGGAAATGTGAAGCTAGGACTAAAACCACTAAGCTAATTCCAAAACATGGTTAAATGTTGAGTTTTATGTAAAAAGACCTCGATGTGTGATTAGAAATCACAGTACAGTTCTCTCAGAGGTCATAGCAAGTTCATCTTGGCAATGAGATGTCAGGTCAGTTTTCTCTAGTATTAATGTGACTACAGAATTTGAAATGGTTTTTCAAATACTGTTCTTTCTGGTTATTTTCCTACCTACATTTCAGTTCTTTCCACTTTGATGCCCCAAATACAGGTGACTGAATCCAAGGCAACCTGTGGAGGGAAGAGTTGAGACACCAGTGAGACCTGCCTCCCCCGGTGGAAATTACGCCCGTCCCTGCTGTGCACCAAGGGCACTGTTCTGTGCCCAGACAGGTGCTTTCACGGGGCACTGCTTTCCAACGTCACAGCACCTGAGACAGTTATTTAACTTGCACAGTGCTATTAAATAATCACTGGATCTAAAGACGATGTAGGAACCTGAATAACGGCTCTCAAAGACGATCATGTCACTAGGGCCCGTGACTGTCACCCAAGAGAACTGTAGGATGTGACTAGGTCAAAGGTCCTTAAGGATATAATCACAAGTGTCTTCATCTGAGAGAGTATCTGACTCCGGAAGGGAAGGTGTTGTGATGAAGGGATTGGGGCGGGGCTGGTGCTCTGTGAAGTCCGGAGGCAGGGGCAGAGGAGGAGCGCTGGTGGATCTAGATGCCGAGAAAGGCTAAGTATTGGATTCTATCTCAACCTCCAGGAGATTGCCTGGTGATGGCTGGACGTAAGCCCAGTGAAGCTGATTCTGTACTCTGGTCTTCAGGACCAGGAAAGAGCTCAGAAAGCTGCGCTGTTTCGAGCCACCAGGTTTGGGAACGTTTGTCACACGAACAGATAGGCGCCGCCCCCCCCGGGGGGGTTGTAAAATGTGGGCGTTAAATAACCAGCGTGTCTGGGCTCAGAGCCTGCCAAACAGCTAACATTTCTGGTGTACTTTCACTTCCACAGTGCTGGGGATAGTAGGCTCCCCCTGCTTCTTAGTCCTCTCTGCCCCTCGCGACTGAAGTTGGAAGTGTAGCTAAGAAAAAATGAACTGGGTTCTGAAATGGGTGAGGGACAGGGCCTGGAGTCCTTCGTATTGGATCATGTTCATTTCAGACTTAGCTTCTGATCAGTTCTTAGTGGATAAACGCTAATCTCAGTGCACTGCAAACCCTAAGAGGACCAATTAATTAGAGGAAGCAGGTGAGCATCAGAAATGTGAAGAAATGCATCGTAGATGAGCTGGCATCATAAGGAACAAATAAGGTTTGTCCTGGGGGAGAAGGCAGGAATTCCAGGCAGAGCAAAGAGCTGAGAGGAAGCCAGAGGTGCGGAAGCTGCAGGATGGGCGAATGTTAAGCAGGTGGGGGTGCTAGACTGTGGAGAAAGCGTGCGGGGAGTGAGGCCACAACGGCTGGGACAGTTCTTGATTCATCCCAATATTCTGCACTGTGACAAGTCCATGGAATTCATAATCTGGGGAGACAGGTATATAAAAGCCTAAATTATAACTCGTTGCAACAAAACGGAGCTTGGATATCAGCACCTGGCCTTTTTCCTTCAGAGGAGAGAGATGAACGGAGAGATTGAAGGGAACAGTGGGGACATGCAGAGTGGCTCAGATGTCAATGGTGGAACTACTGCGCGTATCACTCATCTTTACCTCTTTTTACCTCTTTTGGCTTCTCTGTATTTTCCATCTCCTTGACTTTCCCTCCAGATAGGAATGCTAGTTATTAGCGATACTCTGGACAAGACAGACATCTGGACACTGCGTGTTTTTTTCCAGGTTCTATTAAGTAGTCATTTTAGTGTCTTTGGTTCTTCTGGCTCCTTCATTTCACATCTTTCTTCCTACAACCTCCCAATCCAATTTTGTTGTCTCCATGACTTCAATACTGAACTGGGTCCCTGTGGTAACTGTCACCTGACTGGCCAGCTGCCTGCAGCCCTACTTTGTTCTCTGTCTTAATCTCTCTCTCTCTCTCTCTCTCTCTCTCTCTCTCTCTCT